AGGCTCAGAGAGACCGAAGAGGACCCTTCCTCAGGCTGGTTAGTGACGCTCTGAAACTCCAATTTCTGTCCTCCCGACTCCCAGCCAAAGTGCTTTCCTTTGTGACACTCTTCTCTTGAAAAAATGTCCTCTGCTTAGAGAGTCCTCACTAGCACTTTGTTGAGTAAACAAATGAAAGAAAATGATTCTTTGATCAACTATGAAAGCTCAGGAATAGATTAGAGTTGTCTCAGGTTCCTCAATTCTAGAATCCTATTATCTGTGTGACCTTATTTGTGTATAATGTCTAAAACATATTACCTATAATATGCTGAGCGGAAGTCTTAAAATATGTTGTTTAACACAAGAAGATCACTGTTTTTCCCCCAATTATTCTTCGGTGAAAGTCTTAGAAACTTTAAGAAATGTTCACTTGCAAATGCCCTGGGGCAGAGTGGCTCCACTGAAAGAAGCTTAGGTTTATGGACTTGGAAACCAGGGTCTAATTTGCGCTCTACCACCTACTGGCCGCGTGACCCTGGGAAATTTAAATCTTCTGTTCTTCAGGGTCCTCATGGGATACATGGAGGTGATCATGCAGGTCCTACAGGTTGTCTTGAGGATTAAATGGGATGGTGTAAAGCACCCAGGAGGTGGCTGGCACAGAACATCCTACATAAACATTAGAGCTCTTCTCACCTAAGGCCGGCACGTCACCAGATTTTGACTTCCTTCATCTTATGAACCTGGGAATTCACTAGCGTGTCTTCTCCACTTATATTCAGAGCTAAGACTGTGTAATTCAGCACACGATCGTGGTGTTAGTTTACCAACGGCTGACCTTTTCTTTCCACAAGGCTACATTTCTCTCCCAGCAACTAGGGGTCTTTTATTTTCTACGTATCTTGGCCATACACACCCCCGAACCCTTTGCTTTTTAATCTCTCTCCAGCACTTTAATTTCTCTCATTCTTTCTCTCCCTTAACACATTTTTTATTTAAAATACGGAATATTAATTTAATGCGGTGCATTATATGTATAAAGTATGTTCTTATTTAAAAGCACCTGAGTGGAAGGTTTTGTGTTTCTTCTTTAATGAAGCCCTTAAGTGGCCTCAGGAGGAAGCTAGTGAAGGTGAGGGAGGAACTGGGACCCGTCTGGCAGGACAGGTCGGCGGAAGCAGCCCTGGGCATCGACGGCCCTGCCAGGAGCTCGTGTCCAACCCCACAGTGACGACACCGCTCGCCAGTGTGGCTTGTGAGCGTCTTTGGTGAATGGATCAATGGGCGTTGATAATAATGAAAGATCTCTATATGGACCCAATACAGGGTTGAAGAATCTCATGGTAAGATCTTCCCTAATTGATTGCGAGTCCTAGGAAATAAATTCTCAAGACTTAAAGAAATGTTTTTCCAAATTTGGAAGTGCTTATTAGGACTAGCAATCTTCTTAAGTAGCATCATTTTTAAAAAATAAGTTCCATAGACTCTTCGGAAATCCAGAATCTGTTGGCTAAAATTATACTACATTTTTAAAGGCAGATGAAAAAAATGAGCTGTTTTTCTTTAAAAAAAAAAAAAAAAACAAAAAAAACCTCATTAGGTCTTGATGAGTTTATAAGAACATAAGCCTTAAGGTATCAGGCTGATTGGTGAAATCTGTGGTAAGATGGTGTTTTGTGAAGCTCAGTTTTATGTTATTCTTTATTAGATGCAGAAAACATTTATAAAACGATTCTAGCTTATCAGTCTTAATTGCTGCAAACTAAATTGTGCCTCGGTACATATTAGTACAATATCAGTATCACCATCTCAAATCCCTTCAAGATGTGGTTTGTTATCAACCCCCTGAAGCTGGTGACAGAATAAACCAAGGATCTACATCACCAGTTATAAAAAAAAATAAGGATGAATAAAATGCAGCAATTTTTCAAAAAATCAAAATAAGATAGACTAAATAAATAAATAGCTTAGTGAAGATAATGTTTTGGCAAAATAAATCTACTTTTTAAATTATGTTATTTAATTAGATCATGGACTTGGTATTTAACTTCTAATACTGTGAGTGATACTTAAGATGTCATATACAACTTTAGGAATTTTTTCAAGAGGCTCACAATGCACCATGGAATTATGGGGAGTCAGATCCTATGTCACCCCGAGGCTAATCTATTTGCTGGAGAATTTAAGTCCTAAACAAAAGCGTTAGTTCAGTCATTCTTGAATAAAACGTCTATTGGGTAAAGAGAAAGAAATGTGGGTAAATGAAGGTTAAGTACGTAGGTTTTGAACTCACACTTCTCGAAGCTAACTTTGTTACGCTACTTCCTGACAGTGATTTTTATAACTTGTAAATGTTG